GTGGCAGAGCAGGGATGGAAGCTTCAGTTTGTTCCACTGCAAAGAACTGTGTGCTTAACTACTACACCCCTCCCACGTGATTTGGGGGAGGAAGGGGCTTTGCTTTGGTGATGTTGGGGACTGACTGGGTGAGTCTGGCTTCTTCCTATTGCCCAACCCACCCCCACCAGTCCCAGCCCAATGACAAGTTCTTCAGGGGCAGCTGGGCAAGCAGCTCAGCATTGCTCAGGTTTACTCATGGAAAACTTTCCTGGTTGAGATCAACAGTGGGAGGACTTCAGGGATCTCGAGGAAGCCCAGCCAGGACCTGGCTTCGGAGGGAAGGAGGCAGTTTCCTGGCTGGGACTGCTGTCTGGCTCAGCAAGATGGGGTTGATGCTGAGGTTCCTGGCACTGCTGAGGCCTGAGATGTTAGCTCAAGAATGGACGGGTATTGGCAAAGCTTGGGGAGGCCAGGCCTTTGAGAAGACAAGTGGGCTGGAGGATGGGAAGTTTGAAAAATGGGAAATGGGAAGGTGGGATTTAGGGCATAGAAATGAGGAAAGAATAGGAACAGTGAAGATGGCAGAAGTACAGAATCCTTAACATGTGTAGAGCACCTTATCTCATTCCATTATTTAATTCTGAAGCCCCTGGTTACTGTTATGATATTATACATTTAAGAAAACAGGTTTGAAAAGAAAATTTACCCAAGGTCACATGGCTAGTGAGGTGGTACAGCTGGGTCTGAAAGCCAGGTCTCTGGGTCTAGGCCATATTGCCTGTCCTCAGAAAGAGAAGCAAGGGAAGACTAAGGCAAGGATCTGTCATCATAACCACCCTTCTGTCAATATCCCCAAAGTCATCTTCTGGCCCAGTTTCCAAGATAGGCAGTCTTCTCTTTCAAAACATCAGGCTCCCATCCGCATGTGCAAATCAAGTGACCAGAGTAAATGCCACCCTCAAAGGTTGGGACATGTGCCTGGAAGGGAAGGCCCACACTAAAGAGTAGGGGGTAAGGAGGAACTGATGGTGCTCACTGTTTACCTGGAAGTTTCATTGCCAGAGTCTGGAGGAATCTGGTGTCAATCAGAAGGGCCAAAGGTCAACAGATGGTAGTGAACCATGCAGGAGGTGGTGGAGATTTGAAAGCATGGAGAGGAGAGGTTAGGGATAGGGAGAGAAAGGGCCAGTTTAGGCAAGGGGAAGGTGGGGAATACACCAGAAGCTGCATTGAGGTATATTCTGCAGTTGTGGTCTTTTCATCTGGAACTTGGAATGTCTGAATGAAAAGCCAGGAGGGAACTAGAACGGAGCTGGAAATAGGTATGGGGAGTGTCTCCATCCATTCATGCCAGGTCCTAATCAGGAGAGGAGGAAGGGCCAGAGTGGGAGCAATGAGGAGCTCTGGGAGGGAAGAAAGAGAAGAGCAGAGAGGCCCTAATCACTGAAGCTTTCCTGAAGGAAGGCAGGTCCTCCCAGGCAGATCCTGAGTAGAATGTGAGATGGTAACTTCTCCAGCTGTTTCTTGGAAAAGGTCTGGGTCAGGACAGAGAAGGGAGGAAGGCTGGATGAATGAGCTGCTCCTGGAAGGTTTACTCTCCCCATCCGCACCACCCCTCATCATCTCCACCATCCGCTCTGCCATCTCCCTCCCACTGTTTTCAAGTGGCTACTGTGTGCCAGTCACTGTTCTTGGTGCTTTAGGATACATGAGTGTGGGGAGGGGTAAAGACCAAAATTCTTGTCCTAGAGATTACATACCAGTGAGGGAAGACAGACAACATTCAATAAACATAACAAGCAAAAATTATATACTATGTTAGAGATACAGAGCTGATAAAGGTTTCAAGCTCAGGGTAAGTAAAAGAAGGGACAGAAGAAACTGAACCTAGGCATGAAAGAGTGGAGGCAAAAAGGAGGGGACTGGCTCGGAGGAGGGTCTGTGTGAGTTCAGGCAGGGCATGACGACCTGGTTTTTCTCTGGAAAAGGAAATGCTGGTGGTGCAGAAATTAGAAGTCTGGGTTTGGTGAAGTGACAGAGGGACACAGAAGTATAGCCATGGAGAGAAAATGGGGCAATATTGGGCCTACACTGCAAGCATGCCCCAGGTCAGCCTCACGGGGGTGAGCAGAGCCGACCCAGGGCAGGAACACAGAATCCCACAGGCCTCTGCTCAGCCCAGCTGTCCCGTCACTCACACCCGCTGCCCATTGGTTATTTTTGCTATGGAATGTGCCAGCCCCTCGGATTCTCCTGGAGAACAGGGGCTCAAGTTACCCCCTCTCCTCACTCTGCTCCCCCATCTGTGAGTGGGTGTGTTTGGGGGTGGGCAGGGAAGGCGCCTGTGGGCGTTCAGGTTCCTCTGGCTAGAACTGATATGAACACACATGTACTCTCTCAACACATGTCCCTGTGCATGTGTCTTGTATGTGCCTCTGGGAGTCTGGGAAACGGGACCACCTGTGTGTACCGAGAATGTACAAGACATGACTTTAAACTTTAAAATAAGGGGCCCACAAACTCAAATAACTTCAGAAGCCAAGTAGAAACTGATGAGCAAGGCTCTGTTGTCAGCAGCTGAACTTGAGCATGCTTGCTCCACTTAAAGTATGTACTGTGCAGGCTGAACAAAACATCAGTTGGCTCTGTGTTTATTTTGGACCCATGCTTTCAAGAAATAAAGTTAGGGAACCTACTGACCAATCAGTGTGTGAGGCTTTATGGCAAAGTGGTCACAGCGCCTGGGTTAGAGTCCTGGCTCTACCAATTATTGGCTGTGTGACCTTGGGCAAGTAACCTGTCTGTGCTTCAGTCTGCCCCTTGTTGTGAGGATTAAATGAGTTTATTCATATGAAGTGCTTAACATGATGCTCTGTGCGTATTCAGCATGCAATAAGTGTTGTTGACAATGACTGTAGTCACATCTCAGAAACCAGGATTGGCACTACTTGTGAATGCTGGGATGGAAATTTGGATCTGGGGGACACGTGGAGATACACAACCTGTGTGGATTTGGCTGAGTGACAGGGTTTTTCTGAGCCTTAGTCTTATAGGTTAAATGGAGCCAGTTAAGGCTCATAAAGGTTTCAAGCTCGCGGGGTTGTCCTGAATGAGGTAGCATTTATAAAGTGCCTGGCACTTAGCACATGGTTAAGAAAGTTACAGTAACTGGGTGAGAAGTAGAGTTTTGTGTAGGCAAAGTGTGCATGATGCTAAATGGGAGAACAAAGAAAGTTTGGTGAGTATGCTCACCTGGGAGTGAGAAGGTGGGTCTTATTTGTGACTCGGACAGCCTATTGGCACCTTGGCTGGTGTGTGTGTCCGTGCGCCAGGGCGCAGGGATAGAGTACCTACCTACCATCCAGGAACTCAGGAGCCTTCTCTGATTTTCCTGGGGAGCCTGAGGGTGTTTACAGCCTGGGGCCATGTCAGCACGCAGCCCCCACCGGGAGGAGCCTTGCCCCGCCCCGTGTGTGACCCAGGCGCCCGCACCCGCGCTGGGGCCTGCGGCGGGCTCGGCCGCGGCGAGTCGCGTACCGC